ATGCCCTCGCTTCTTATCAGCTGGACGCTTCACTCTCCACTCTAGTCCTCTGTGGCTATGTCACTGACTCTGGGCCCATGAGTCCCCAGGTCTTGCCACACTGCTGGCCAACCAGGTCTCCACCCGGGCTCTCAGCAGTCTATTGAGCATCATAGCACTTAGCTTGCAGCTTCATTGCTGTTTTTCCCTCATTTCCTTTTATTGGTGACCAGTGTGGTCACTAATCTGAGCTCATGTCTGCTCGTGTATTCCCATTGAGTCTTAGTTTTGGCAGGGGGTTTGCCCTGAGGGGAACCAACCACTTGCCTTGATTTCTCCTGGGCAAGCAACTTGCTTGTTCTTGTAGTAATCATTCAGACTGCTGTTATTGTTTTGTATTTTTCCTGTCAATCTTTCTTTCAAGAAGTATCTTCTGTTTTTCTAGCCACTCCAGACTGGTCTGTTTGTCCTTTCAAGTGGAAATTTCCCACCTCAGAAGATTCTGGATGGGGCTCCGTAGGAAGCATCCTTCACTGGGCTTGTTGTAGCCCCATTTTAGGTATTCTAATAAGTTATAGGCAGAAGAAGGAGGTACAAGCTTTCTATGATGATATTTCTGGCTATTCCTTTCACTCCCCCTCAAGTGTCTATGATGATAGTGTTTTGAATTATTAGACCCTTTATTAAATGCAGACTTGACTCAGAGCCTATAGCTCTGCTAGTAGGCTGAGGTGGCTTTATGGAGGGGTCCTACTTTCGTTACTTTAGTAGGGGAGATTATGGCATAGTCAGCCTGAAATTTGTAGGAGACTGGAAGAGGTTAAAGATATGACCTTGCTACAAACAGAACAAGGTCAGCTACAAACAGAACAAGGTCTTGATGAACTAATGTCCTCAGTGCATACGGATCTCAGGATCTAAGGAACTCACCCTACTTCTGACTCTTTCTTGATGGTAATGGATCTCCTTTTTCTGCTCATGAGATGGCTTATTTTGTACCTAGTGGGATGGCAGAATGAACCAGTTCCACCAGATGCTCCTTGGAAACCCTATACAAGGTCACTATGAGTTGCAACGAACTCAATAGCACTTAACAACAACAACAATCATGTCTGGTGGCACTGTGGGTTAATGTGCTGGACAACCCAGTTGGTTTGAACCACAGGTTGGTGGTTCAAGTTCACCAGTCACTCCTACGAAACCCTATACTGGTCTTTATTGGTTGGCTCTGACTCAATGGCACTTAATAACAACACAGAGGGAGGGAGGAACATTTATGGTAACAGTCATAGGTTCTGAGGCTTAGGATATAGAAATCTTTGGGACCAATATTCTATTTACCACAATGGGGTTTCTCCTGGAAGCCTGCAATATCTCTGGGCTATTCTTTTATTTTAAACTGCTTCCATAGGTGTAGGTCAAGTTCATCAAATTGTATGAGAATACTTTTTTTTCCCCTCTTCTTTTTACTTCTGGTTGAGCTCTGATCATCCAGTCA